ATGGTGATAGTGATGATGATGATGATGATGATGATGATGATGACGATGACGATGACAATGACGATGACGATGAGGATGAGGATGAGGATGATGATCATGATCATGATGATGATGATGATGATGATGATGATGATGATGACGATGACGATGACGATGACAATGAGCATGAGGATGAGGATGACGATGACGATGACGATGACGATGATGAGGATGATGATGATGATGATGATGATGATGATGATGATGATGGTGGTGATGCTGATGGTGATGGTGATGGTGATGATGATGATGATGATGATGATGATGATGATGATGATGATGATGAATTATAATGAGTTGTTGATTCTTATTGGATTCATGCAGTCCTGGGCTGCGGTGGCACTTTGGTCCAGTCTTTCAGTAGCCCTGATCGAGGCAAGTGACCTCAAGCGCACCAGGGCTTCAGAAAGATCATGGATTGAACAGGAAGTAAAACACACACACACACACACCGTATCTGGTTGGTGGCTTGAACCCCTCTGAAAAATATTAGTCAGTTGGTGTTATTATTCCCAATAATATGGAAAAATAACAAATGTTCCAAACCACCAACCAAATATATATATATAATATTCTATAAATATGTAAAAGCAATGTAAACATAAACATCCATGTAAAATCATGTAAAAACAAAACTCGGTGAAATTCTCCCAATATTCAAAAACGATGTCAAAAGAAAACAATGGTTGATGGAAGCCCTCGGTGTGCACATATAGGATCAGTCCTTGCTTTCTTGGTTCCGTCTTGTCATTCTGATCCAAGACTTTGTTGACTCATGTTGACTCGTACACAGCATTGTGGGCTTCCTTCATGTGACGCAGGCATGCTTGGATATCTCAAACATGGTTCTGCAAATTTGGTGACTGGCATTGATACGATTAATCATGCATGTTCCTCTCTTCTGCCCAGCATCAGCCATCTTCAACTGAGACGTCAACGCTGTGGCACCGTTCGCCCCTCACCAGAGGAATCACGAAGGGCCCGCTCCTGCAGTGGGTTTGCGTTATTGCCAGATGGGATCCACCAGAATGATGCCCCCTTCGTTGCCCGTCCTCAAACCAGTTTCCAATCAGTGTGCCAGCCTTAAATGCCCCATCCCATCCCATGCAACCAACCCCACAGTAATCCCTGCTGTGCATGGAAGTGCCAGGCCCCAAGCCCCAGTGTCAGGTTGTAACCTGAGAGCTGACAAGGCAGGCTGCAGGCTTAGATTTTTTTCCTGAACTGCTTAGCACTGCTTGGTGGTGAATTTCTGAATGTTGAAAAATATGAAAGTGAATGTTCACAGATGTTCACAGTACAAGTCAACTGGGAGAATTGGTGTTCACTGGAAAGTCCAGGATCATCAGGATTAGGCCATGGTGAAGAAGCAATTTTTAATCATTTAAATCACCAGCCATCACCAGCCAGGGAACTGTGTGTTATAGGCATCATCGCTGAACTGAGCCATCTATGTTGGGCCTCGGAGAGATGCAAAAAAAAACGGTGCTAAAAATGGCGCCTTCAACAAGGCATCAGGCCAAACAAAAATATGCAAATCCCTACTAAACCCATTGTTTTTGGATGTTTTTCTGGTGGTGTTTAATATGAATGGGGGATGGGATTATTGCAGAGTACCGACGACCAGGAAGAATTTTGATCTGTGACCATCAGCATTGCAGCCAAGCTTCGGAAACAACAATCGCCCGCTTTTTGAGCTTCCCTCTACTGCTTCGGTTTCGAAGCTTAACGGCCACAGAAATCCATCGAAATGAAGTGCTTTCCAGTGAAGACACCCAAGAGCATTCAACAACGAGATCAACAAGGTGATCATTCCTTAGCATGATGTGATATTTGCCCACTATATTATATTTATATATATATATATATTTATATTTATATACTATACGTAGATATAGTTAGTATCTATATATATATAATTATATTTATATAGTTATATATATATACTATATATACAGTCATATACAGTACGTATCATCACATGGTGATGGTCAGTGCCACTGCCTGGCGGTGGCTTCGAAAGAGATCCAAGGCAAAACTGTGGAAGGTCTTCACCTGGGGCACGGTGGAACCATGGGGGGGTCCGGCATTAGGTCCTCCATATGTGGAACACAACCGTGGAACCGTGGAACCATGGGGATGGAGGGGGTGAACATCCCAACCCAAGATGTGCCAAGGTGTGGACCACCAAACTTGGTTGAAATCAGTTCAGTCTTGAGGCTTTTACCCTTGGCCCCCAAAAGGTCTGAATTTACTGGCTGCGAACCTGGGAACCCCTGGGGAGATCCATTTCAAATCCATTTCAAATCGTCCAGCAGTTCATCATATTGCTGGACGTGGCCCCGGGGCCCCCCCTACTTCTCATAAAGTGTGCTGGGATAAAAACCTTGAGAAACACCAATGGTTGAAGGCTGATGATATAACCCATGCGCGCCACAAATGCCAAAAAAGACTCCATGGCCGCATAGCTTCAGGTAGACTCCATCTACCGCCTGAAATCGAGGTCGCCACCTTCACAGCTGCGGACAGGCCTAGCAGAAACGGACGTCCTGGAAGACATCTAAAATATGTTGTTCTGATGATCAACACACCCCTGGGAAGAGCTTCATTTTACACGGTTGCCAACCGGTTGCATCCCGTACCTGGAGTGAATATGTGAGTATGCAAGAATAACCAAACTATACTAGAAACTAAGCCATGATCGTCATTTTTAGAGTCAGCTCAAGTCTTGTGAAGGTTCACACATACTCACCGCCCCACCGCTGTTTTAAGTGCCTCTGTCCAAAGCTCGCAAGCGTTGCCGAAGCCTCACAGATGATGGGGGCCGATGGCATCAACAGGAACGACATCCCCTAGTTTATCATTGTTTTCCCCATAAACATTCGGAACATTGGCATAAAGTGCCGGTAAATCCAACATTTTTAGACACTCCTAATCATATCAAGTTGTATAATATATATATATATAATAATAATATATATATATATATCAGCTATATATATATATTGTTATTATTATTATTTAGATCTCATTATTAATTAGGCAAAAACTTTAGCCATCATTGGTCCATTTTCCCCAAGCACCGGTGCAAACTCCTGCCACTTTGGAGCCCTCGGAGTTCCAGGGCTTCGACTCATCACAGGCTGCGCGGCTGAAAGAGAGCAACAAGATCTTGGTGGAGAGGGGGCAGGGGTCATTTCTTGAAACTTCGAGGGGTATACCTGGAGGTTTACCCTCTGGTGAACTAACATAGCAATGGAAAATGGCTATTTATAGTGGATTTTCCCATTAAACATGGTGATTTTCCATTGCTATGTTAGTTCACCAGAGGGTAGTTCGCTTGGAAAATAATCGAACTAAATGGAGGATTTACCATTAGAACAGGGACTGGTAAATGTCCTAATGATCCTAATGTAGAATTACCAGGGTCACCAGATGCTTGAAGGTGATGTTTGAAATCCCCCAAAAGGGACATTTACCACCCACTGACTTCCAGATGTTAAAAAGGCCCAAAGATACACACCTGTATATATAATACACAGTGTATTACACAGTGTATTTACATGTTCAATTAGATCATATGGTGCATAATGTATGCATGCATCGATCATATCCCATTAGGAACTTGTGAACATATCCGAATATCGCATTGGGACCAGGCAACTTGATAAATCCCGCTGACTAGTGACAACGGGTACTGTAATCATTTGCAATATTTTGCAATGTTTGGTGACTATTTGCAATACTTGGTGCTCCAAATGTCAGTGGACGTGGGGCGCAAATTCCCATGGGGCTTGCTGCATAATAGCGCTCAAAAGATCCATGAGAAAACGGTGGCGTTGCGGCACAGTCCAGCAACGCAACATCCCAAGTGGTAATTGATCATTCAAATTAATCGATACTTGAAAAAACTGGGACTCACCATTTCACAGCATACGGGCCTCCAACAAGGATCGGAAAGCTTTTTGACGATGTTTTGTTTAAACAGTTTTCTCCCACATCATGTCCAACAGGTTCCCACATGTTCCAAGTGTTTGGGATGTGGAATCTTTTAGGTGTAGGTATCCCCATTTCTAATGGATGGTCATCATTTTTTCCCATTAATAATATTCCCCATATTTTCATATATTCTCCCTCATTAAAAGTACCATTTTGGGGTCAGCCCTAAGTTTCAGACACACCCACTCATCTACAGTCATGTGGGTAAAACATGGTAAAACAATGCCATCTGTACCATCCCCCAGTCAACACCATAAATATTAGTGTGGTATGGTTACCATTCCCAGTGATAGGTGATTTCCCATGAAAAAAGCACCATTTTGGGGTAGACTGGAGATGGAGCCGCTCACCTCATTGGCTTGCGTGACTTGGCCTGAAGCCACCAGCCAACGCACACGAGCCTGGGCAGGTTGCGCTGAAGCTCTGCGAATTGTCCCAATGAAACCCCGAAAATTGAAAGGTTTATCTATATATCTAAATAATATATATATATATATTTTTTAAAAAAGAAATATATATATATATAGGTATAGAGAAATAGATATAGAAATAGATATAGAAATAGATATAGAAATAGAATGAAATAGATATATCTAGATGACTTTAGACGTACGAATCGCTTCTGACCATCATTTCGGATCTCCCTATGAAACCAGCCATGTGAAGATTGCACTTCTGGCCACAGCCAGCCTATGTGACACGGTCTGGATTTTCATGGATTTTCCAAGGTCAAGCCAGGCAGAGCTGCCAATTTTGAAGCGCCGCGACGGATGTCTTGGTGGATTTCCACCCTTCACACGCAAATGCGTCCATGATTCTAGGTAGCATCCATTGCAGTAAATGAACAAAATGAAACATCATCCACTGGATCATCATGATCATCCACCAAACAAATATGCATTGAAGAATACATCATCCATTTATATCCATTTTATGGATTTGTGAAGGAAAAACAAGAAACATTATCCACCAAACAAGTATTCCAGCACATCAATCTCTCCACGAAGGATCTTTGGAAGACCCGGGCCCGTCTTGCTGATCAACAGAAAGCCGAAGGCAGTCTCGGGATAGAGTTTCACACATGTTTCCATATCTAGAGCGTCACTCAAATCATCGCCGGTTTGAGAATAGTGATCCTCTAAATAGAGAAGGTACCTCTCAAATGTCCTCCTCTGATGCTTGTGCTTGACATTGTCCAAGTTTCCATCCAATTCGGCCACTGCCTCCTTTACCATCTTCAGGAATGTTCTCTGCACTTCAATATGCTGAACCTGCTCACGGGGCATAAATAGGAACGCTGGATGCGGCTTATAGGAGATGTGAATTGGATAGGCCCGAGGATTCGCCAGCATCTTCGCAATGTCTTTCTTGCTGCCCATACTTTCGTCTCCCTGTGCACTTGTGAACCTTGGCCCATGTGAAGAAAGAAGGACATACAAGTAGTCTTGGAAACACTCAAATCAGTAGCACATAGTAGTACAGTAATACCGATGGAAAGTTTGAGATCAGATCAAGACTTGATCAGGCAATGTTCACTCTGTAGGCTAGGGATGGCAACCCAATGGCATAAACCTCCCATTTGGGGATGTTTTGAGCACATTTCTGGCAAGATTCTGGATGGTTTATGGGTTTACCGCTTTACCATATTCGAGTCAAATGATGATAAACGTGAGTTTGACATCACTGGTCTCATCAGGTTTTTCCTCCTGTAACTGAAGATGTGAAGAACCAGCCATTTGTGGATCATTTTCCGAATGGCTTTCCCCATTTTCCACATCTTTTCGGATCTTTCGATTCAGGGTCACCAACATTCACCAGGTATTCACCAAGCATTTTCCCAAGCAAAATGGGCTCCATTGCAGGTTCCCCCATTGGCCGATGAACTTCAGACAGCGGTTGTCCAGGTTCTGCGGCAAGATCCCTGCAGCGAGTATATTCCATGAAAGCATCTCGCCAAAGCACTCCTTCTCTGTTGCCTCGAAAGAATGCTGTGACAGTGACAGTGACAGCCTAGATTTTTTTCGGAGAATGTATGTATATATATATATATATACCCTCTGGTGAACTAACATAGCAATGGAAAATGACCATTTATAGTGGATTTTCCCATTAAAAATTGTGATTTTCCATTGCTATGTTAAATTACCAGAGGGTATATATAATCGATATTATGTATACTGTATACCAGATTCAATGAATATACGCATGCAAAATGAATGTACGCCATATAGATGATTCACGCATCACTTATGTACATCAACACTCATATGCACACATGCATAGAGACATATTATATTATATTATATTATACAATTATTATACAATATTAAATTATACCATAATGTTATACAATATTATACGCACATGCATCATATCATGTGCATATGTCTGGAACCGCCTGTTTGACATGCATGAATGTTTTCGCTTCGAAAAACGTCGCGTCGTCGCGGCAGCATCCAAGGTGCTTCTAGTGTAAATTCAAACTGTCCACTCATTGTGATGCCATCTTCGATCCCTTGACCCCAGGCTTTGCGAACCTTGGCAACACTTTGGCGACAGAAAGGTCAAATTGTGTGCAAAGAAGGGCCTATTTGAATAGTACCATCTGGTTATTTAACATAGCAATGGAAAATTCCTTGTAAATGGAGGTATTAGTGGGAAAATCATCTATAAATGGGCCTTGTTCAATAGCTATGTTAAATTACCAGAGGGTAAACATGCAAACTTCCAGCCATTTGACAGTCGCTGAATCGCTTCGATTCAACCGGACCGCATCCGGACTGCGGAGTATGACCCTGGCATTGCACATATCATTTGTCACCTTAGAGGGTTCCAAGTTATCCCAAGTAAATCATGGCAAATCAATGTGAATCATCTGCAGAAAAAACGAATCTTGCTCCGGGATTTTCTCCATCGGATTTTCCATGGCTTTGATTTTAGAGGCTTCACTGAAAAACCCCTTCGTCGCAGGTCCAAGGAGCAGAGTGTGGCACCTTTTTACCATCCATTTCAAGGTCACAAGGGGCGATGCCTCAGAAGGCGATCGCTGAGAATTCCATTCGCACCAGGGCTGAAAATCAATGAGCTGACCATCAAAAGTTGCTGGGACATTGATGTGAAATTTACCAGTGAGCCATTCATGAAAATCCTTCAGTCGCTGTGTCGTATCAGGTTTTTTGAGAAATTTACAGGTGGCTTGGGAATGAACAAACTGACAGGAATGAAACACTCTAGAGCATTGACCTGTTGATCTGCCCAAGGCTAAACATGACAAAGCATGGTTTCGTGTCTCATCTATGGCATATTGGGCTATTGCTTCTCAATTGATGTTTTTCTAAAGGCCGCTTTTGCCATCTTGGTTGGAGCCATCTGTTCCTAACTCCCGAGCCCAGAAGCTTACTTAAGTATGAAGTTCAACTGAAACGAATAAATAAAACATTCTATAGCAACAACAGTCCTAAACTTCTTGAAGCTTTTCCTTGCTTTACACGTCTTGGCATTTCAGAATTAGTAATGGGTTGGATCAGATTGAACCAGCTACCCAACCCGTCACCATCCAAGCTGGATGATGCTGGAGCTTCTTCAGCGGAGTCCTGAAGTTTGAAGGGTAGAGGCCCATCACGGAGTCGAACCTCCATGCACCGCTTGCCTGCAGCTCCCGGCGAAAAGAACTTGGCAAATGTTCAAACAAAATGAGATGAGGCTGGACCCATGATGATTTATTTGCGAGGGCCTTCTGCAGCGGTGTGCCACGCTCTTGACATCATGATCCAAAGTACTGGTATACTCTAGAACTGTCAGCCTATTCCAGAGCGTTTTGAATAACCTCATCAGCAATCATGATTAGTCATAGTTTCCCGTGAGGACTGATGTATTGTCACAAAGTGGATGCAATGGACTACGAAAAAGCATGGTTTTAGAGGGAAAACGGGGTCCATGGGACCAATGACTAAGCGGCACACTGTGTGTTTAACCCCCTCAGGAAACGCTCAAAACAACCTCCTCTGCCAACTTTCCCGGAGTTTGGGGCATCGGGGGGAAAAAACATGAGAAAACAACATCAAATCACTCTAAAATTCCAAACCTTGGGCCTTGGGGTTTTACTGAAAATGCTGAAAATGTATCTATAGCAAATAGTGGCATACTGGCCACATTGGTGCGAATCATCGTCTGGAAGTCCGTGGAGAACTTGCTAGTGCCAACGTTGCATACTGCCACAGGATAGCCACCTGTGGTGTCAGCAACCCCCAAATACCCGAAATGCATGATGAAGCATTGATCATTCATCCATTTTCTCAAGCAAATCTGGGATTGTAGGACTATCTAAGCGCAAGTCAGGAATCAATCACAAACGCGATGCAACGGCAGTTTTCTGTCCTGACATGCTTAATGCATTGCGCAGTGAACAACCCCAGTCTGGTACTCACAGCCTCACGATCCAATTCCAGGCGCCTTTGGGCAACGAGCGATATGCTTCCTTCAGTTGGCGGTCCTCTTCTTTGCTCACATCGACCCAGGTCTTTCGGAAAGGACATTTGTATTGCCAGCAACTATCTTTGGGGAAAACCGCCGCCATGGCGATGGCCCCTGGTGAGTCCAAGCTGGTGACGTCTGATCTCTGTCTCTCTCGCTCCCTCTGCAACACCATGAGAAACAACGCTCCATGAACTTGTAGACGGTGATAAAACTAAGCAGTTTCACTGGGATGTTGATATGGCTACAATCCCACAACAAGCTCTCACTCATGGCATGATGCTGGAGCCAAGATATGCCAAGAGTATCATATACATCCGGACTAAAACATTTAGGAAATTGCTGCAACATGTTCTTCCACGTGCTCGCTGGGATGTACAGCAAACATGCAAGGAAGAACATCTTGAACAAATATCGACAAAACTACAAAGCATGACAACGAAAAGAGAGTATGTCAATTCCGATGCAAGGAACTGCTAGTGACATCAGCGACATCATCCCCAACATGTCTCAGATTGTCTCAGTACATCTTTCTTAATCAAAGCTCTCAGTACATCTTTCTACATCATGATCCAACTATGGAACCAAAAGATACCAAAAAACTACATGAGTCGTACAGATTGAGGGTCACCATCTTGTCATCTCGGAACAACAGCAGCAGCTGGGGCCCGCTGGCCAACAGAGTCTTTGTCCTGAGCCAGGCTTTTTAGAGGTGTGGTGCCCTTCATTTCCGATCCAGAACTCTGAACCCCACTTTGGGCAGCCTGTATATACATTATATATTTACTGTACGTATCATCATCATCACCATCATCATCATCATCATCATCATCGTCATCATCATCGTCGTCGTCGTCGTCGTCATCATCATCTTCTTCATCATCATCATCTTCATCCTCACCCTCATCATCATCATCATCATCATCATCATCGTCATCCATCATCATCATCATCATCATCATCATCATCATCGTCATCCATCATCATCATCATCATCATCATCACCACCAGCAGCAGCAGCACCTTCATCATCATCATCATCATCATCATCATCATCATCATCAATCATCATCATGAAATGAAATACGTATATATATATATATATATATGTCAGTGTAAGTCTGATTGCACTGGATTTCGTTCGATTCGAGCCCACCAACTCTCCACAAAGTTCTTTTATCCAGCTGCAGCTGCTGTGACGATGCATCACGGCCACAGAATGAGTCGCGACGCGTCAGTTGAAATCGAAGGATGAGGCAGGTCAGCCGATGTCAGCCGACACCCAAGATTGAGGTAGCAAAGTAGACTAGAGCGACTAGAGCAAGCAGCGATGCTGCGAGCAAGCAGCCTATGTTTTTGTTTGACGTGTTCATCTCAGAAACCTATGGACACTACGAAATCGCTAGAAATATAGAATATCATTCTATATCATATCATCTCAGGGTCTCAAAACCTGCCAGGATCTGCGGTGCTCTGTACAAGCTTCACAGCAGCTGCCACTTCCGCTATTTCTGAGGCCGGCCGGTGGCTGAGAAGGTGCCGGTGGCGAAGCCCATGTCTTCCACCTCGCTGCCCAGTGCAGCAGCGGCATCCTGGTGCTGGAAGCCGATGAAGCCGATGACAAGTGATGATAACCTGATGATAACTGTTTCTAAGTGATGATAAGTGATGATAAGTGATGACAACTGATGATAAGTTCAGTGATGATAACTAAATATAACTAATGAAGTTTCAAAATGTTTGCGAAGTATTTTGTGTTTCGTGATGCCACCACCCTGCCCTTCAAATCCTTGTAGAGGTTGTTCTTAATCCCACGCATCGTGTCCTCAGCTCATACGCGACTCAGTTTGGCACCTTGCAAGGCCCTTCAAAGCTTCAGTATGTCTGAGGCAGAGCAGTTCCAAGTGAGACAATCATCCGGGTTATCAACCACCAGGAACCATATAAGGAATTTATTAACCATCCATCATATATTGTAGGGGTATGTAGGGGTCATCTTTGCAGGGGGTTGGTTATATATAGATCTTGTTAGATCACTCACCAACTTCTGTTGAAGCTGGGGGGTGATCCAACTTCGTTACCGGGAAAGAAAACTGCCATCATCATCATCATCATCATCATCATCATCGTCAACATCATCCAACAAAATCCAACATCATCCAACATCATCCAATATCCCAATAAGATCAATAAGACAAGTGTCGCGGGTCTTCTCGTCCTTTCCTTTGCTTCGCAGAGATTTAGCGAGCTCCAGGGCTGCATCGAAAAGCTCGCCAGCTGGTGGGGTTGCCTCAACGATACCTCATGGCGCTTTCGGCCGCAACATATGGCAACAGCCAAGGATGTCCAATGGAAGAGCACAAGCACAGGTGAAACAGAGATGCAAGAGCACCAGGTTTCCTACAGATCTTCCATTCCTGCTGGAGAATGTTTGAATCCAGAGTCACGGCACTTTTCACAACTTGCATAATATAGTTGCCAAGGTTCGTTTCAAAGGGCCGGGATTCGGTGGCAGCTTTACAGCGTTCAGCTTGAAAGGATACCCTCTGGTAATTTAACAGTTTGCTATTGAAAATGGCCCAGTCGAAATAGTGGATTTTCCCATTAAAAAATGGTGGATCTTTCCATAGCTATGTTAAATTACCAGAGGATAACATGTTTAATGCACCATTGGACCATGGTTGTGGCCAACAAAGCCATTGATCAGCTCGGAGTTTCACTGAATCACCACCCGTGCTGCCATACTTCCTCAGCTCATCTGATTGGTACCTCTTGCCCATGCAAAGCACATCCTTAGCTCGAGAGCTCACAGCTTGGCCAGTTCCAACATATTACAACATATTACAACATATTACAACATACTACTCGTACTCTGCACAAGTTGGCACGGTCGGCAAATGTCGGCAAAGTATCAAACATTACCAAACTCTCTCAACTTTCATTAAATGTACCCTTTTCAAGGTGATGCCCCGTCCGAGCCAGGCATCGGTCCACATGGCTAGAGGCATCTTTGACTTCCTGGGAGAACAGGAGTTTCTCTGAAAATCTTGGGGGGAAAACAGTCCATCCATTTCTGAATCATCAGCTTCTCTATGAAAATGTATCAACATGGCAATTTGGGGGATATACCAATCATTTCTAGACACACCCACATACCCCATGTGCCATTTTAAACCTGAATCACTAGTCACTGGTTACTAGATTGAACGCACTCCTGCATACGTTGTTAGATGGCTTCCATTGTAGAGACACACTCTCTTCCACTATACATAAACCTGCTATGTATAATATATATATATATTCTATATTATGCACATTTACAAATGTGTAGAAGCCCACTCAGGATACATACCTCAAATGCAACCGTGTTAATTATATATCTTGCGATATAGTGCAAGATTGTTTGAGGCCGCTTCAACTTATCAAAAAAGAGAGTGAGGGTACTTGCAAGAGGCCTGCTCATGACTTCCTCAAATTTATTTCTGGGGGAATACCCCTTGTCATAAAGGGGGTGGGATTAGGTTGAAGCAACATGATGGCATGGCAATACAACACCTGCCATTGCATTGGCACCAGCAGTAACGACCACCTGCAACTGAAGGTCATCAGTTCCGTCATGCCTGCAGAGTAGACCAGTCCAATGTCGATGCCAGGAACGAAAAAGAGACCTGGTCTCTGCCATGGGTTTGCCCACAAGAGTTGCTCGCGTTTTCTCGTATTTGCTGACTCGCTTAGTTGCTGACTCGGTCAATGTTCGGGATATACCCGCCAAAGTGACAATTTTTTGAATGAAGAAAATGATGACGAAACCCCTGAATTTTGGACAAACCCGCATGCTGAAACCACATACTACCACCTTTCAAGGACTACGTCTTGTCCCAACTCCAGTCATAAGGGGCTTGATGGGATGTAAAAACCCTGCGAGTACCTGCTCAGGAACACAAAGGCAATGATGACACAACATTAAAAAAGGATAATCCTTGATCTCAACCAATGAACTGCGACAGGTTGAAAGCATAAACTGCAAATTCATCGCTTCTTTGTTCCTTGTTGCATCTTGGTGTGATCTGTGTAACAACCAACAAGCAGCTCCACGCAGCTCCTAACTTGTAGTGACGCATGGGCGGCTTCGAATGCCATCTTTGTTTCTCATTGATGTGGGCTATCAAATCTACTGGTTAATCATAATTGTCCCTACTTAAATTGCTATTGGGGGTTGCAGTATGCCCCATTTTCAAACAAATCCGTGTGCACTGCAGCCAAGGGTCTCTTAGAATCACCAACCATCAAGCGCTTATCGAAGGACAAGCCCAACATGGCACCAGCAGCAGTGATGTGCCCATTCAATGCTGCCACTGTGGGCATTCCTAGCGTCAAAATACCTCAAGGAAGCACCGGAGGTAAAGCAGGTCACAGTCAAGTCAGTAAATTACTACCCTCTGGTAATCAAACATGGCAATTGAAAGTTATCTATATTATCTATACTGTAGATGGTGGTTTAGTGGGAAAATCATCCATAAATAAACGTTCTTGTTTTTCATTGCCATATTTCATTGCTGTAAGCGGAGTATAGATTATTTATCACTACAGCTGCAGTACCTCGCATGATGATATATATTTTATGATATAACCATACCGACCATGATGGATTCTACAACTAGTTCCACCAGGATATGGTCACCGTGATGAAAAATCTGTTTTTTTTTCTCCCTGGTGCTTTTACATCTCCCAGCAAGAACTGCAGCGAGTTGCGACACATCAACTTCTCAGCGTCGGTCTGAATCTGGGTGGACTGGTTTACATTGGCAGAGATGTACCTCACCAAACCAGGATGTGGGTCAACATTTCAACGGTCATTGCCATATTCAAACATGAGATGTTTGACTAACAAAACTGGCCAGAATCAGTGGGGAGGGATTAGAGCTTAAACATGTTTAAACCATTCCTGGTTGGTGCAGCTGACATTGAGATGAAGAGTGCTGGAAACTTTGGGCGGCATCACCATTGCAAGGCCAGCTCGGTCTTCGAAAGCATAGCTGACAAAATGGACACGTTGTATACGGGCACTATTCGGCAATTACATGCAATTACCATCATTTGATAATCTGATACATCATTTGGCATTCATTTTACTCCCATGAGAATTGAAGGGTTGGTCCCAAATGGTGGCTTTCAAAGGTCAACGAATGCAACATGCCATCGACCCATCGACCCATGGGTTAAACAAACGCCACGCCCAGCAGCTGAAGATCCATGCCGTTGCAAAAGAACTTGCCATCGCCTCCGGTCTTTATTGATGGTTTGTGATAGTTTATGGTAATTATCGATGTAATCAGTCCAGGATAATTTAGGATACTTTAGGATCGTAGGAAAGTTTATGACAAATTATGACAGCATATGACAGCCGATAGCACAGCAAAGTTGGCATTCCCTGTTTCTGATCTTTGGCCCATCGGCCCCGAAACGCCATCGGCCTGCGACCAGAAGTGCTCGTGCACCAGCGTCCTCCGCTGCATCCAATGACTTGTTCACCTGCAGCATCTGTGCCGAGTTTCATCAGAAAACGGATACTTTTTTGTGCGTATCCAATTCCATACCCTACATAGAACTATATATAGAATTGTACCGTATTGACTGTATTGTCGTTATTTATCAGTTTCATGCAGTTTCTTCATCATTTTGTTACTTTTTGAATCTTTCTGATATTTGTTTTTATATTCACCTTCACTTGACAAAAGTGTGTCACATGGCAAGCAACTGCGTATTCAAAAGGCGCACGTTAGAGATCCCAGCCTGCTTGATGAGGGATGGGTTGATGCGATGCTCCCACACACGCGTGCCCCAAGAGAACTGCCCCTCTGGAGATAGAAATCGCACCTCTTTCAGTGTCTTTCAGGCGTCGAGATAGGGTTGGATTGTGGCTGATCGACAAAATGTTGTTGAAACATAATATGAACATCAATAACCTGGACATGCATATACAGATATACAAACGAAGCATATTTTGCTCACCTGTTTTGTGCATGTAGTCACTCATAGTCACTCTCAAGGTCAGAATCCAGAATGCGACCTGCTCCTGGGCCCGGCACCACTGCTACATCATCTACTATCTGAGTGGTGATCAAATCCATGTCATCACCTCACATGACCAAAAGAAGCGTCTTGGCATCATTTCTTCAGAGAAGTATGACATGCCCAAAGGATCCTAAAGGATCCTAAAGGTACTCGCACTACCCTCTGGTAATTTAACATAGCTATTGAAAATCACCATTTTTAATGGGAAAACTCACTATAAATGGCCATTTTCAATAGCTATGTTAGTTTACCAGAGGGTAACATGTTCAATCTTCAAGTCAGGTGGGCCCTCATGGAGGGAAAGGTCTCCGATAAATGGACCATTGGGAGACGAGAAACGCACGGAAGAAAAGCGCCGCCAGCAGCCTGAGGCTGAGTCAGACTGAGTCACAGAACATCAAGAAGATCCACCACAAAACTGATGTTTATAATACTGGTATACACTGCTTATATCTGCTTATATATTGCCAACCCCGGATTATTTTTCACCCTGGTTGATTTTAATTGTGGTGGTTCCCCCAATGGTCAACAGATCCAGCACCATGGTGCTGCCAGCCTTGCCCGAGACGAAATCGGGTCCAGGCGCGTGCCAAGCGTGAAGACGCCTGGGTTCTGCGTCCTCTCCATCTCTTTATGGAGCCAACATGTTGATCATATTGAAGGATAACAGTGGGAAATCAATGGAAATGGGATGTTTATAGATGTTTATAGATTAGTCTTATAGGTAAGATTATCTTGATCATATGGAGGTGTTTGATAGTGGCAGGCTGGGAACAAAGAAAATCCGGCCCTTAAATTGGCTAAACCTTGGATGATATGTCCTCTTGACTCTCTCCCGATTTCTTGGTTCTTGGGAAGTTGGTTCATTTCATCACTTTTGGGTTTCAAGAAGTTTACCCTCCGGTAAACATAGCCATGGAAAATGGATGAACATGGCCCATTTACAAATGATTTAGCTGTTAAATGACGATTTTCCATAGCTATATTAGGTGCAAGCCCACCATTGTTACAATGGCATCCGAAGTGCCTTTGCCATCGACATGGCTGCCACTCGCGCCACTTGCTACGTGTTGCTGCACGACAGGAGTAGCCACTGGGGCTTGAGAAGCGCACATTTGGCAAGGTAGTGAGGTAGAAATTCGATGAAATTTACTGGAACATGGTGGGACGCAGTCGAATCTATATATGTTTTTTATTTCTTTTTAATATTTTTGTTAGCTTCTCAGAGGCAAATATTACAATAACTATTAATGAATCCATGACCATGATTTAATGGTGTAAGATGATGTATGTCAAGTAAAGTGATATAACGAACAGTATTACATGGTATGTATATATATATATATGTGTGTGTGTGTGCTATATATACTATATATATATTATATAGTTGGGGTATCTATTTCTTTTTCATTTGGATTCGACACATTGAGATTCTTGGGGGATGATTGGATTGATTCTGCCATCCTTCCAGTGACCAAAGACATCCAAAGACCATGTGGATACCACGTTGAGAGCCACGCTTGCCGCTACCTGCACCAGCTACCTGGAACGCGCTTTGGATACAAATCTAACCCACTGACTCATGAAATTTTAGAATAATGGCTGAAAATTGCTGAAAGCAAGGCCCACTATATAATCTACATATGTATGTGTGTAGGGTTCCATGTTTTTTCGATGCCAGTTGAGACCTTCAGCCCCAGGCCACAAGCAAAGCACGATCTGCAGGGCTGGTGACTGCCGCCTGCTGCGACCTAAAAGCCCATGCCACGGCTGGCGGCTGGCTGTTGATCCATTTTGAAGCAGGGGCACATGATGTGTCACTAATGGTACTAATCAGTTGATCCAGATGGTACTAACATGTACTAACATGTGCTAACCAGTTAGTGTTCACATATTATATAAGTAAATCCAAGCTCTATGAGTCTATGAGTGGGTATCAACTGGGGCGGCAACATGGTGAGACCTGCCAAGATGTTGGCGCCTATGTGGGATGCCAGGTGTGTTCCAGCTCGTTGGGGCCTTAGGCAACGAACAGAAGGGAAAGCTTCTGAGTTGAGCTGATCAAGAGGTTTATCAACATATATCAACATCCATTAGCATTGATCAGCATCCATCAAATCACATCAAATCCAGAATCTACATTAATCATGTCGGAGATGTCGAAACCATACATATCCTCTTTGACGCATCGTTCAAGGACACATAAGGACACTATCTCATTCACCTCAGCATGGCACCTGGGTGGCACACTCGGCGGAGCCTGCAAGCAGTGCTAAGCTGGGAAAGGAAGGTTCAGAAAGCTCGGCGGAGACCTAACTTTTCCGAAGTGGATGATGCAGAAAAGACTATAGCATACTATACAATAGGCAACTATGAAAATGGATGAAAATGGCACGCCGTGTCCAAACGTCGTGATTTGAAATGCTGCTCAGCAAAGTGGATGATCTTGCTGAAATGCAGACCACACCGTGGGCTGGTGAAGCTGAAGTGGCTTGCTGTCCAAGCACCTGGGCACCCAGCGGCATGGATTTCCCAAGGGTAACTGATGGGCAAGTGATGGCAACTGCTACAGGCAGAAATGCTGCCCTGCGCACGTCCACTGCACTGCACCAAGCTGGCAAGTCAAGTTTAACAGCTTTGCTCCTGTGTCCCTTGGCTCTCTCACTTGTGAATCAGGATTGCGTTGGTGACTCCTGGTCAGTGATGCGTTGGCTGATGTTGGCTGCATTGTAGTTTTCTTCAAGCAAACTCATGGCCCAACCTTGCATCCAATCCAGCAGCAGAGGATCGCGATCGCCTGCCATGGAACAATGCGGAGGATGCAAACAGTGCCTGAACAGTGCTATGCAACACCCGGAATTCCTGAACAATCGGACGGTTCCATCCGTTTCCCATCCGTTTCCCATCCGTTTCCCATCCGTTTCCTACACATCCAATGCGAGAACCCTCCGGCTGGACCAGCCACCTTTCACCCTCCTGCGCTCATAGCTGGCCAACAGCGCCTCCGGAGAGATTTGAACATTCAATTTTATTTCATGTGGAAACCCCCCCCCCCAAAAAAAAAAAAACGACCATTTGGAAATGGTTTCTACCACCCGTAAAGGGGATATATAGAGCGGTTTGATGATTTTTGGTCTTTCAGATGCTAAGAATGGATCAAAATGGTCTGGTGTTGTTCGGCTTCAACCAAATGCGAGACATATCGAGACTGCTGTGACTTTCTGGGGGCAACTTCCAAAATCAGTCATACAGTCATACCATACCTTGGCTGGACAGCTGTGGATCTTGACGTTAATTCGTCTTAATTCTATAAATTATTATAAAATTATGTTGCTCAGTGGCCAACCCTTACGTCCATACTGCTATATATACTTCTGATTGCTGACAGATTCAACTACTCGTTCGCTTTCCGCACTGGGGCCATGGCGTGCAAGTCCTGGGGGTGATGTTGCAAGAGCTCGCAAATTAATGCCTCACCGCTCGGGGCATTCTGGGTGGGAAGGCGAGCAGGGAAAAGTCCTGGAGGCTCAAAATCATTGTGCACATTTGTGCACTGTGCACAGCCATTTCAACAAAAGGTCATTCCTTCTAAACTTCAATACTTACTTGATCTTACTTGAGCCCTAGCCGACTAGCCGACCTACAGCCATGGGATGGGATGTTTTTTCGAGCTGCGCGGCGCTGTGCCGGCCCCGCCTGCGGCCCTTTGGAAAAGTGCGAGAAAACGCGGTCCGCTGGGGCTCTCCTGGCCTGTGCTTTGGAAATGACATCAACCAAATTATGGCCATTTATGGCCAATAGCCGCCCTCAATAATGGTTCATGAATCATTGTTAAGCATCAAATATCATCAAATATTAGATCATAATTGTGATTGCTTGTTGATGGTTAATATGGTGAATTGGTGTTACTTGTCGTTTTCCAATTGGTTATATCTAGATAGTATATGGATAGTCAATAATCCCTCAATAAAACATATCATAAAACAGAAGTCAACAGAATTCACCAGTTCGTTACAATAATCCCTCAATAACACCAAATCCAAGCGACCCGGGAGGGCAAGAGTCTGACAACTGCCATCAGATGGTGACTGGAGATTCCTCGGCTTCCCTGCCCATTCGTCCACAGTGAAATTCATTGGCCAACAGCCCGATCTTTGGGGCTGCCCATCGTTTGGAAATCTGTCCTGAGATGTTCATGCCAGGAATGTAATCTTCCTTCTCAAAGTGAAGGTCTTTATGATATTTTATGATCTTTATGCTTGCATTGGCCGCATTAGTCTTGCACGGACCTTCAGTTATGTTTCTCACAGGCCCCGAAATCAAAATGTTGAAACCTGAAGTTACGTCGGGTAAGAAAAACACATCAAACTATCAAACATTGGGACGATCTGACACCAACAATTTCAAATACTTACAAAATTGTCCCACCCTCGCAAGTTTACACTCTAACCTCTGCTATGTTTCCTTCGCCCATATTTCAACACAAGCATGGAGGTTTAGGAGCTGTTACCCACGTCTCAATTCTAAAAAACTCGCGGCTGCGGCATCGGAACAGCATCATGAAGCAAGCTGACAAATGCTGATAGCTGTCAGCAGTGCCCTATGAGATTCTATGAGATGTCATTTCTTTCTGGCTTCCAGTGTTCACCCCATCGTTTTGTGGGAGCCCATGGAACCCTTCTCATTTCATGTTCTTTGCTTGAATTGTCCCAGCTGGACAAAAATGACAAATTGGTTGCAGCCGCCGCAACCGCTATTTCCTGCACAAACGCTCCGGGTTCGGTTTTTCCAATTGAGCTGCATCTGCAGCATGTGAATTTAACTTGCATCATTCAGCAGTTGAATTTAACTTGGTTCATTAGATCTTGCATGATCAGCGCATACCCTGGGCTCCGATGGCCCCACTGGACATGACTTTTGGTCCGATTGCGATGATCAGCATTTAAAAAACAACTCACGACGAGCGCTGGAGAAGCTGTTGGACCAGGACCGCCTTTCAACTGAGCTCAGGAACTTGTTCTCCATAGCCTTAGGCACTGATCCCCCGGGATCTCTTGCGGATCCCGGTGGCTTAGAATATAAATGCCAGAAAACCCGTCAAAATACATGGAAAAAAACTGAAGTAACCCTGGTATAAGCCTCTCTACTTACATGTATCGAATATCGATTTGTGATGATCTACATCATATCATTAATATCTATATATATATACATACTTATCATGATTTATTCATAATCTCATTTCCATATTACCCTCTGGTAAACTATAACTTTACCATGGAAAATCACCATGCTTTCGACTGGGAAAATGGTCCCACTCTTTCGACTGGGCCATCTGCAGCTCTGGTGAATCCGAGACACAAATCACCTCACCCTCCGCCAGCTCCATGTCATCGTCGTCACAGGTGATCTGCGGATATGCGCATCCCAGGCATCCCAGCATCCCACGAAGCCGAAAAAACGTCGGTCAAACCGGGGCATTTATTGGTGTACTTGGGATACTTGGGACCATAGAATTTGACTGTTTAATATATGTTACTCTATTTTCGAATATTTTCATATTGGGATGGGATTATATACAATAATCTATATTAGTGCGAGTGATCTATGGGCCAAGTGCATTCTGAAAGAGCTTTTATGATTGAGTATTGGAATGCTACAATATCCGAAACTTACTGTATAACTTTAATTATCCTTTAAATGAAAAGTGTGGTAAGCCATCCCCAATAGAGTCAATAGAGTTTATGTGTTGAAAAAATATTGTATTGTATTCTTGGGCGGCATACCCTATTTGAAATTATGTGTGTATCTATATATATATATATGTGTATATATATATATGTGTATATATATATGCATATATATATACACATGTGTATGTATATATATATATATATATCTTGCACAAACTACTATTGAAAGCAAACTAAAGACCCTAAGTGGTCGTGGTGATTCAAAATGGGGGTATATGGTATACCGTATTACTACCCAATATCTATTCGTAAACCTTTATTTTGGAAGAAATTCATGGTAGACTCCGCCTTGGGTTGTGGTATAGGTACCCCTCTTAGGCCCAGACGGAAGTCGCAGCTACAGGCAAAGGTGCAAGTTCGCGAGTCGTACCTGGAGAATGAGAGGAACCTTTCAAAGCCAGGTTTTTCTATTCATGGTCAATGGAAACCAATAGGAGTTTATGGTTGACAGGTGTTGACAGTCCCCAGATACCATCTCTCTCAGATCTGTTTGGAGCTCATTATTACGTATATATATATATATACATATATATATATTATTCTTATTACACTAAATTGATTTGGACATATGTTGACCACGCAGGCCGGGGGGATGCATGGTGTTCGATGGTTGGCCGCAATGATCTCACGCCTCGGAATTCGTCAAAAGAAAGCAGCACTTTAGATGATACAGTACCCTCTGGCAATGAAACATGGTTTGCTGTGAAAATCTGGGCATCTATGAAATCCATCCCCATTTCCTTCGATTTTCCCAGCATTAAATTACTTTACTTCGAGTTATCCCCACCATGACATCTATACGTTTTGTTACTGGCAAATCTTCTGGCATTCTATCTGACATATCTTCTGGCATTTTATCTGGCATATCTTCTGGCATTCTATCTGGCATATCTTCTGCAATATGTTCTGGCATATCTTCTGGCACTCTATCTGGCATATCTTCTGGCATATCTTCTGACATTCTATCTGGCATTCTATCTGGCAAATCTTCTGGCATATGTTCTCGCAAACATTCTGGCACTTTATCTGGCATATCTTCTGGCATTCTGTCTGACATTCTATCTGGCAAATCTTCTGGCGTTCTATCTGGCAAACATTCTGGCACTTTATCTGGCATACCTTCTGGCATTCTATGTGGCATTCTATCTGGCATACCTTCTGGCATTCTATCTGGCATTCTATCTGGCGAATCTTCTGGCGTTCTATCTCGCAAACATTTTGGCACTTTATCTGGCATAACTTCTGGCATTCTATCTGACATTCTATCTGGCATACCTTCTGGCATTCTATCTGGCACATCTTCTGGCATTCTATCTGGCAAACATTCTGGCACTTTATCTGGCATATCTTCTGGCATTCTTTCTGACATTCTATCTGGCGTTCTATCTGGCATATCTTCTGGCATTCTATCTGGCCGTTGAGGTCCAGCGGTGCTCACTGAGCTCGGAGGGTCCCAGGTTGAGGTCCAGCGGTGCTCACTGAGCTCGGACGGTTCCAGGTTGAGGTCCAGCGGTGCTCACTGAGCTCGGAAGGTCCCAGGTTGAGGTCCAGCGGTGCCCAGTGCGCTCAGACCCTTGCAGTTGAGGTCCAGCAGTGCCCACTGTGTGCGGAAGTTGGCGAAGAGCTTGGCGAAGAGTTGGCAAGGCGGAAGTGAACATGGGAGTGGATGCAAAGGTGGTGGAGGAGAAGCTGGAGGAGAGGGAGGAGGAGGAGGAGGTGGAGGATGAGGAGGAGGAGGAGGCGGAGGAGGAGAACAACTGTGATAAAATCTAACAACCCTCACCTGGCAGGTGGGGAAAAAACAGTTGAAAGCTCCTTGGCTGGGCCAGCCCTCTGAGGTGCCAAACAAACGGTGCAGCAGTGCTGCAAAGTTGCCACCCTCTGCGCCTCGCTGCGCATGCCGCGCCAGTTGATTCATTGATCTCTGGTGACATGAAGCGATACCTTTGCTCATCAACCACATGTCGTCTATCCAGGAATCGACCCGGTAAAACGGTCACAGCATTTGGAAATTGACAGATATGGACGGACAAAATCGGACAACATGGACAACTATGGACAACTCATAGGGGGGAACCCAAGCAAAATGATATTTTATAAATGATTTAGTGATCTAGGTTTGTCGTCGATTGTCTATATTCCTTATGTATTCCGTTGCTTTACTCCAAGGCCCCTGATAACTGGCCACAGGGGCCCTGGCCATTCCGGCGTTCGGTGTCAGCCAGCATCACCACCCGTTCGATGAGAGCCTGGTTGGGTGAGCCCAACATCAGACATCTTCAGCAATCGACCAGTGAATTGCGAAACGGTCAACGATTAATGATGAACAAAATCACTTCAGAATCAAAAAAATGTGATGGTCAAGCTCGGAATCGTCTAGCAAACGAAGCAAATAAAAAAATATCTTTAGAAATCAACAACATCTACTAGCAGCAATGATTGGATACCCAGTGCCACTAGCTTGGGCCTTGAGGTGTTGAAAATCCATGCCTTGGGGCGTGCTGAAAGTGCCGCAGGTTCACCAACGACATCGCTACTGTAATGTGCAACTATTCATAGATTAATGCAAAAATTGAAATACAATATGAGTTTTATAAAGGGTATGCGAAGGATTAATAAAATGTTCATCCACTAGAATAATCTATAACCTCGAGCATAGAGATAATTACTGATGCTGACATACCGTATGTCCTTGCAGGTAAGAGACGGCACAACCATCCCCGAAAAACCTCACCCAATTTGTGGCACACCCAATGAGCCATTTGCAGAGCTGATTCGATCGTCGAGTGGCTGATTCGATCCAGCGCACTTTGCTGCAACATGCAGAGCTGCTCTGCTTCAGCCAAACCTGAGGGAGAGAAGGAATGTCCATTTCCAACATGTGGGTGTGTCTGAAAATAGTGTACCCCTAAACCCACTGGTTAATGATCATTATCCCTATTAAATGGCTATAATTGGGAATATACCCTATTTTCAGACAAACCCATGCTTTTTTTTTCAACATTTTCCAACCCCATTTCATGGGACTTTCCCATAGGATCCATGTATGGTATATATGCTAACATTGGGGGTATATTGGTGGTAAATGTTACCATATATAGCAGCTTACATGGATCCTATGGGTTTAGGAATCCACTGCATCGTTGTTAGCGTAGGCCAAACATCTGTCACCGACATGCTCGGCTCTGCACGGAGATCAGACTCGTCCCCTGGAACGGTGATAATCTGGTAAGGGCCAGGGTGATTGTGAAATCCCATAGGCCTTTACTATTTGCATATAGGTCACTGTAAAACAATGTATATAAATCATATATAAATCATTATAAATCCCATTAAATCCCTATATCTTGGTAAGAAATCACCAATTTACCGATCATTCATTGGTCTAAATCATGGGCTTCTATGGCTTTGTTCTTCCCAACACTGGAGGGTAACTCACCGTTCACCGTTCACCGGGCCTTTGTTGCCCTTGACTTTGGCACCTCCGCGTGCACGTTTCATGGCACCAGACCGTAGTCGGATAGAAATTGATAATTAATTAATAGGGCAAGCAATAACAATTGGATACTAGTTATATAATAGATATTAATAGATATTAATTAATAGATATTATAATAGATATTAATAGATGTTAATAGTATTGTGGTATGTATTTGTTCACAGGGTGGGAGAGAGGGAAAAAAAACAACATATGTATGTTATGTATGTCATTATCAAATTAGATTCGATGGCATGAGTCTATGAGTGATGAATCTGAATATGGCCACTTAGGCATCCAATCAACGACTCGACCAGGACAGGGGAGGTCAGGCCCCAACCCACAGCTGCACGGCGATGAGGCATCACTGGAGGAGAAGCACCTCAGGGGCTTGGTGTGGTTCATACACCCCCCTAAAGCTCACATGGAACCATCGATCATCGAATTGGGTTTGGAACCTGATTGTTCTATTGGATTAGGCATGTTGGGGTCTAACTTAACTATAACTACTGGAGCCGTATGTGTGACAGAGTAGTGGGTAGCAAATTGGCGCCTCGATGTCATAGAAATAAGGCGTACTAAGGTCTGGGGGGGTGTGCTAACCCCAACAGATCCATGTTTTGCGATTTCCACATCTTTATTTCGGTCATTTATTCTATTTCAATATCATTCATTTGTATTCAATCTGTCAATCTGTACACATGAGCCTAAAATAGCCTAAATATATCAATATTGTGTTTTCCAAAACCCGGGGTGCCCCGAAGACCATATATACTCTCTACTCCAGCTGCACATTCCACGAAACACCAATCGAAATGCGGAGGGTAAAACTGATGCCTGCTCGACATGAAGGAAAATGGGTTGCTAGTGCGAGTCAATCCGCACACTCCAAACAACTATAGCAACTAAGATATCTGGTCAGTCTTTACTTCAGCAAATGCAGGTCCTCACTCACATATAAATAGGTTCAAACTGACAGTCTCCCTCTGCCTTCCTACCTCTCCCTGGCCTATCTTTTTGCAGTGACCTTTCGTCTTGTTTTCTGGAGCCTGACTTGATACTTGGTCACCCTTGGGCAACCTTACGAGCAGGACGCTTCGGACGCCTGAGTCCAGGCGTAAAATCTGGAGCGGTGGCAGTCTGGGAGCAACGATAACCCCCAAAAATAGATAAAAATAGGGGATAGATAAGCCCCTCACAGGGATTGATTGGGGCTGATAAGCCTTACATCATTTTTTTCGGCCTTGATTGGGGCCCGGGGTTGCCCTTGGAGGCACCCGTGGATTTCCCATGGAAATCACGCGTTTGACGCAAGGCACAACATTAACTGAGGACATGGCGGTGGCAAAGGAGTTCCAACGACGGACCTGAATGGGTTGTGACAAGCAGTGGGGTCCCCGTGGTTGTCCATGACCTGGCTGAATCATGAACAACCACTGGCTCTTGTGGCCACAATTGCCGCCCATCCGCAAGAACCACGGCAGTGGGGAGACCGATGTGAAAACCAACGATGTCTTTTTGCCTCTCAGCTTTCTGTATTACAAGTGCAGGCGCCATGTCCATGCCTTACTTTGGGCATCTCTGGCACGGTGCTTCTAGCTGACTTCTAGGACTTGGGGAACCCAGATGGACCCAGACTCGCTTTTTGTTTTGTTAGATGGGAAGTATCAGTGGACCAATGGTGGACTACACAAGTATTGACTCAACTCTTCCTACCCATTCAAAATGAGTAAATCACCACTCTTGGTTGGCAATGTTGGCACTTCCTCCTGCAAAAGCACCAGTGCCTCCAACGAGTTGAAAGCCGGGCTTGATGAGTTGATTCAGGTGTTTCACCGACAGGGGCCAGCATGGACCATGGAATGGTGAACGAACCCCGGCACCAGGTGGATAGCCACCCTCCCTATGATCCTATGAAGGACGCTGCACCATGAGATACCATGAGTACGTGCATCGTTTCGATGTTGGTTGCTGGCCCATGCTGGCCCCACCTCTCCCAGCTTGAAATTCAGCAAACTACTGCAAAAACACTCTAACCAGACTCTAACCCTGGGACGCCGCCGGTCAATTTTAAGTGGTGAATTGGCACCCACTTTACTGGGTCAGTGGGTCAAATCGTCCCAGGGCTCTTCGACCTGGCGGACGCCATCTCTCAGTGAGACTATGACCTTGGGCTCCCAGGTGGCAGCTTCTGAATCGAAAGGACTCAATGGATCTCAATGGTATGCCGGAGGGACGACCATTTACATCATTTGCTCCACAATGCTGGTGCTGCAAGCAAAATGGAAATGGCCAGTGAATGCCATATAATGCAATATAATATGATCTTGATAACGGTACCATGTGGTACGCATTTTACTCCTCGCATTGCAAATCAAGAAAAAGGCACGACATGTCACGACTACACATGGAAGGTGGGCTTTTATTTGCTCCCCAAATAGAATTTGAGTAAAATTCCAAGGCCAATAGGTGCCATGACCATCCCGACACATGACATGCCGTCTGACTGGGATTCAAGCGGTTGGATGAGTCACACTTGCCTCCGAGCCCTGACCTGACAAGCTCTGGATGTTTTGATGATGTTTTGATGTTTTGTGAAGCTCTAAATTTCAGCGACCAGCTACCTGCTCCGCCTGCTCCTTTGAAAAAGCGGGCCGCTCATCCGGCTCATCCCGAAAGCTATGCAGCTCAGCAGCCCAAACTTCACCATCGCTCCATATGAGTCGATCGGCACTGGCATCGTGCTTTGCCTCACCCAATGCTGGGCATTTTGGGGTACTGGATGGTGCTGGAAAGATTTCAGGGCCCCATTTCGTCCATTTAATCCACTGGGGATCACTGGGGCCTCCTTGGCGGGCAAGAAATGCAAATCCATGCAAATCCGAAGCACCGATAGCACCCGAAATCATCGCCTTGTGCTTGGCCCCACTTAAGATCATCTCAAACCCGCCATCAGGAGCCGGCCTGCGAGCACATGGTGCCATAAACTGCCAATGTTTGGGAGGGTTCACACAGATTCTGAGCTGTGTCTACTTGTGGTTTCAAACGCTCACAGCCTGTTTCGAACAACATCTCCAAAAATCTCGAGGCTTGAAAAGGTGCAGCTCCAAAAACACCATTCATGGATGTGTACTATTTTGTAACCTATCTGATGGCTGCAGCCTCAATCATTCAGCTTGCTGATCAAAAATCCCGGCGCCGCCTGAGTTTTGACTGAGACAAGTTGAAGACCTTGTCCCAAACCACCGTGGATCCTCTGATTTCACCTTAGCAGGCAAAGTCTTAGACATATCTATCGATCGATCTATCTATCTATATATTAGTCTATTCTATTCTATTCTATTCTATTCTATTATCATTTCAGAGTCTTCGGACTGGATTTTTGACAGCTTCTCTTCTGGCAGCACAATGCCTCCGAGCAGCGAAAAGCTTGGCTCCGACACAACTGCCTAGGCCTCTCGCAGCCGAGTCACCCATAAGTTGCATGTCCTCTTCAGTTCTCCACATCCCTTGGATTTTGTGGAACTCAGGTGGCACCAGAACCTGCCGGGCTGGACATGGCTGGACCACATCCACTTAGTCACTTCGAACATGTTCATTCAAATCTGGGGAGCAATCTGTTTATTCAAAAGCAAAGTATGGAAAGTAAAGTATGGTCAAGTTTTTAATACAGTATGGCAGTATGGGAATGAGATATTGATACAGAGAATCAACACCAGTCCTGCACCATTGCAATGACAGCCCTGATCTTATCGGTACCCTGCCAGCGCCTTGCTTAGCTGCTCCTGAGAACAGCCGTATCCCCTCTACTGGGCTGCGCTTGCCACTTTCAAAGGATTTCCACAGTCTCCCAATTAGACACACGCATTTCTTTCCTGACATTTGTTGAAATGTGTTGCCATTTGCTGACACCGTGCCAATTGCACCAATCCATACCAATCCCAACCACCAAGTTCTAGGAAACACTTTATGTTCCCTCCGGTTTCAGCGTCTCGCCCTCCCCCGGGGTCCGCATCTACTATGTCGTTGTGCCGAGGTGAGAAAGCTTTGAAAACCTCCTGCACCACAAGTTCTCTTGACGCGGCAAGTTGGCTCCTCCCTCAGGATCATGAACCAAATTTCAAAACATGCACGCCCATATCCACCCGAAAATGAGTGGGGCCCCGACAGGGGGTTGGACATGTTTCGACTCGTCAAATGCACCAGCCATGACCGCCCTGGCTCCTCCCCTTTGTCACCGGGGCATTGACAATTGTTACCCATGTCCACCTCACCAGCCTGAGAAAATGGCAAATTGAGGACGTCACGTCACAACGTGATGCAGTTTTCCCACATGTTTCAACACCCCGGGCCTTCGCGCGAGGGCGAAATTCTGTGGTGAAAACGTTGGAGCTGAAATGGCCAGGCAGAAATTCCCGGGTGCCCCGGAGGCAGCAGTTTTGACCGTTCCCCCGTTGTGATTTTGCTGGGCAAAAAGATGCAAAAAGATGCAAAAAATCGCTGGATGCTGAGTGCTCCCAACGCCAAAGCTTCGAAAAGACTTTCGCTCTCCTCACAACGCGAGAGCCCCAAGATGAAAGTATGATCTCGATCTCCAAGCACAAATGTGTTCCTTACACGCCTCGCCCCTTCCACTCACTCGGTGCATATACACACATTCACACTCAGGCACATGTTTAGACCATATACATATATATATATATGATCAATGATTTGATCAATCAAATTCTTTACGCATATTTGAGGGAAAAAAATATTACTATATATATAAAAAGAAACCTTGTGTAATTCTGTAGGTTCTCTCTCCATCTCTCTCATGTAATGAATGTACAATATCTCCACCTGTGTATCATGTGATGTTATGCATATGGGTTGTCGGGCACCTCTGAACCTGCTGATTATACACAATCATCATGTTCATTCATTGTCCCCATTAATTAAAATTGCACTTTGGTTGCAATTTGGGGGTGTGCAGTATATGCAGCATACCAAAATTTCAGAAACGCAATCGGTCTCCTTAGATACCTCCAACTGAACGATCCTCTGTCGCGCCTGGAAGGATGAGGCTAGAACAACCTTCAAGTCAGAAGTACGGCTGGTTTCCGAACTAATTTCCATCCAAATTCAAACATCGAAATGTTTTTTTTCGCGAATGAAAGCCATGCCCAGTCCCGCTGTTGGAAGTTCGCACCTTTGGCAGACATCTTTCCATCTGTATTTGATGATCCCAAGTGACAAGTGAATTACACCTAAAACGTATCTGTTGGAGATGTTTGAGTGGAATTGACACATCCTATTCCACTAGGTCTGGTCTTAAAATAGGGCATGCCCAAAATTGATGATTATCATCATGTTTTCGCATCCAGCGTGTTTTTTAGGAGTATCATGGAGATTCATGGAGTATCCATTTTTTCCGACCAACCCAACTGAAATATGTTTTGTATTTTTTTTTCCATCTTTGCTATGGCCTTTTTCAGTTCGGAGCACAATCGGTTGATCTCCTCTTTCAGTTTCATCGTATATCCTCAGCACGGCTAGGGCTGGAACACCTCAACCGCCAACGGCTCACGAATTCATGATCATCCCCAAACAATTTATGATGTTCACCCATGGGCATTTTAAGGCACCATGGCTTATCCGTGTCTATACCATACTTATGTCATTCGTTCATTCCACACAAATTGCTGTTCATGCCCCCCAAACATGCTCTTTCTGCGTCTTTCACCCTTCCCTAAACGGGTTTGAGAGCAGTAGGAAATGCATGGAATCCGACCACAATTTCCCATTCAGGCATGCCATGTTTTGCACCTTTCAAGCTCAGCATCAGAAGTCCATGCCTTGTGTATGGCTCCCTTTAAAACTCCTCCGGTTTTTGCTTTATTCAGGCATGCTTTGGCCTATGTGCAAATTGGATCACGTTGATCAAATTGGTTTAGCGGTTTAGCAACAATGGCCACATTTCCTTTGGCCATATCTTTATTAGTTGATCCACGTTGACCCCTAGGCCCTAGACATGAATCAACTTGCCAAGTTGGGCCGTTGAAAAAGCGGCCCCGAAGTCAGCTGTCATCACTGGCTTCTTCCAGGCTGCTGTCACTCCGCATTTCGCTGAAGGAGAAAAAACCCATCGCTGAACGCATCCAGACACAGGCCCCTGTTAAGACCACGAGACCACAGCAGCTCCAAGAGAAGGAAGCCCACCAAAGCTCTGGATACTTCACCTGGGTAAATGAGGACCATAGTTCCCCGATAGTTACCCCTTTTTTTTGCCGCAAGTGTATAGGGAAAATGGTGATGAACCACAATGATGTCCATGATTAATCATTGACATTTGATGTATTTGTTGGCTAGAAATTTTCAGACCAACCACCTCGGAGGAGAAGAACATGGAACACAACCACGAGATCAACGAAGCCATGTAGAGGATGCGAATGAGACGGAAGTGGATGGTCAATCGCTCAGCCAGCACGCACTTCAAGCCATCAGAGAGCTCCTCAATGGAAAAGAAGAGCTCACAGGAAATCATCAGAGCAATGCTTCCCAACACCAGGGTAGTGACTGCAAAGCCAAAGTACGCGAAATTGGCGGCAGGGTCATGCAGATTGACGCCGGAGAAGAGAACCTCATAAAAGACGTTCCCCACCTGAAAAGCTGTGGAGGATGATCCCAATTTGGCATGAGCCAACATTTGTCTCACCTTGCAGAGGCTAGGGCCCTGGGACCCCATGGCCCCTTCGCCCTCCTTGGGCGCCTCGTTGAGTCTGGAGGCTTCCAGGCGGATGGTGTGCCGCAACCTCCACAGACTTAGCAGCCCCAGGAGGCCACCAATGAGTTGGAGGATGCCATACTTCCAGCCCAGGGGCCCTTGTTCCGACAGCGGGGAGCCATAGTCCCATAACTTGATGTAACCCATGACCTCAGGGGAGGATGGGAAACAAACACCTGGACGATCCACTGGACACCAACGGTTTCATGGAAAAATTTCTGTTGCAACATGATTGCTATAATTCAATATTCTTATGCCACCGCGTTCTTTCGCAATCTCATTCTCATGCAGCTTTTTGTATCACCATGTATCACCTGGGGATAGCCTCTTGTTCCCAACAGATTCCTACAGCGAAAACCAGGCATTACCAGGCCGTATCCGCACCGTAAAGGCCATCATGAACATTGCCAGGCACAGCGCATAGCTCCTGCGCGCATAGATCAGGGTCTCTCCAAGCATTGCGGCAAAGCCTTCCTTGGCCTTGGGACTGAGGCGTGCCAGATTGAAGTCGATGATGGCACTGGTGAAGGTGAGGTACAGGGCGGAACAGAAACTGGCTGCCATGCCTGAAGCCCAAAAAGAAATTAAAAAAGAACACATTGGCAGGTGAAATGATCTCAGGTGGCCAACTTCAAATCAACTGGTTGAGCGTATGATTATCTGTGGGTGAGTGAATAATAATGAATAATATGTCGAATTAATTCAAGTTATGTCAATATATTTTAAGGATCATCAGTTAGTGTGGGACAAACATCAATGTTCATCCATTTTCATCCATTTTCGGCCATGTCATCCATTTACCAGCTGTTTGCTCACCCTGGTTTCGACATGTTTCGACGACCCATCCCAGCAATAACCCCAGCCTACCACATAGGTGGGCCCCAAGACAGCCCCAGAGCGGAATAGGAAGCTGATGCCGTTGTATGCGAAGCCACCGAACATCATAGAGGGCCCTGCGGAACTGATGTCCCCCACTACTGTGGATGGTCGCGAAATCCTACATCTGTTGGTAGCTATTGGTAACCATGAAACATGAAACACTGTAAATTATGGGCTTATAAGGAGATAACCATGGATAAACCATCTACTGTTGTTCTATTTGAGTTCCACTATATTGTCATGACATGTGATGGCCCCTACAGTATTGAAGCAATAGTTGCAGCTCCGCATTGATAAATTGATATGATATGCTCACATGCACAAAAACAAAAAAACATATGACATCATATGATACTGTGTGCCTGCAAGTACCAACATCTATTAATCCCTCTTTGTCTCTCTCTCTCTCTCTCATTCATATACAGATGGGTCAAAACCCTAGTATCCTTCTGTTCAGCCCAAAACAGCCGGGATTGTGCATGTGCATCTGCCCTAAAAATAGTATTGCCCATAATATTTACTACTAGAAAGGCAACATCAACAAACAGCTTTGGCCCTCCTGTAATGGCATCCAACTTCCCCTGCAACACTGCCACACATGGCCCTGGCGGAACTCTGATGGAGCTGCTCGAGTTGTTTGCCCGGCTGCTGGCCACATGTTGCATGCCCCAAATCTTCCTTAGATTTGTGTTTCAAGGGTGCCAGAGATCTTGGCCTAAGATAAAACATGATAAAACCACGGATCTTCGCCGAAAAAAACGGCGCCGAAAGCGTCCCTCCACAGTTTGAAAACGTCAAAAAACGTAGCTCCAAATGCTCAGATTGGTCAACCATGGTCAATCAACTTTCCTGGTAGGCCGGGTGGTCATCCCCGCTGCCGTTGCGGCCAGGCCGCTGCAACTGGCGTGCCAGCACCACCAACAGCATGGAGCTGGCAATGAAGCCCTCAAGACGAGGAGGCAACATCTTGGCGATGCCCAGCAGGCCGAAGGCTAGGACAAAGGAGACCAAACCTCAAAGGCACCCAAAGGCCTTTCGGAAAATGCATGCATGTTTTACAAGAATCTTCATGATTTCAGTATGTTATTCCCCACCTGCCAGGTGAGGGCTGTTAGATTTTATGTCAGTTGCGTCCTCCTCGTCCTCCTCGTCCTCGTCCTCCTCCTTCTCCTCCCTCTTCTCGTCCTCCTTCTCCTCCTCCTCCTCTCCTCTCTTCTCCTCTCCTCTCCTCGTCTCCTCTCCTCGTCTCCTCTCCTCCTGCTCCCTGCCGGACTTCAACCACGACCATCCACGCCCAGTGTGCCCTGCCGGACCTCAACCATGACCATCCACGCCCAGTGTTCCCTGCCGAACCTCAACCACGAGCATCCACGCCCAGTGTTCCCTGCCGGACCTCAACCACGACCATCCACGCCCAGTGTTCCCTGCCGGACCTCAACCGCGAGTATCCACGCCAAGTGTTCCCTGCCGGACCTCATGTAGGAAGATATGGGACAAAGAATGTGAAGAAGAAAGTTAGAAAGAATGTGCACCGCTGGACCTCAACGGCCAGATAGAATGCCAGAAGATATGCCAGGTGGAATGTCAGATAGAATGCCAGAAGATATGCCAGATAAAATGCCATGAGACATGCCAGATAGAATGCCTGAAGGTATGCCAGAAGATATGCCAGATGGTATGCCAGATAAAGTGCCAGAATGTTTGCCAGATAGAATGCCAGAACATTTGCCAGATAGAATGCCAGATAGGATGTCAGAAGATATGCCAGAAGATATGCCAGATAGAATGCCAGATAGAATGCCAGAAGATATGCCAGAACATATGCCAGAAAATATGCCAGATAGAATGCCAGATAGAATATCAGATAGAATGCCAGAAGGTATGCCAGAATGTTTGCCAGATAGAATGCCAGAAGATTTGCCAGATAGGATGGCAGAAGATATGCCAGAACATATGCCAGGTAGAATGCCAGAAGGTATGCCAGATCGAATGCCAGAAGATATGTCAGATAGAATGCCAGAAGATTTGCCAGTAACAAATCGATAAATGTCATGGTGGGGATCACACGAAGTAAAGTATTTTTTTCATTTTTAGAGCTCATTTTGTTATACAAAAAAAATCAGATGTATAGAATATCGACATGAATCAACTGAATAACTCGATATATATACATGTGACACACAATTTTAAATATATATATATATGTTTATGATTGTATGTGCGTGACATGACCTGAAGTGCATCTCATTCTACCCAAGGAGCTAACGAGAGTCGTAAATTCAATGGGCAGCAGCATGGATTCCACGGCTGCCAAATACTGCTTCCGCCCGGCCGGCTCCAGGGCATTGGCACGACCGTTGATGATTTGAACGCAGGCGACGACAGCTAACCCCATACCTGGCTGGTTTCCCCTGAAAATCACTAGGCATACCTAGGCATTGGGGATTAGTATGGATTGAATATGACTCAAAACAGTGTGTACCGGTGTACCTCCCAATTGCGACTCTCATGGTGCATATGATGATAACCATTGGATGTAGGGGTACCCTATTTTCAGACAAACCCATATGGTGGAAAATCAAAATACTTGAAATCATGACCAAAATTCTGAAGGCCAGCCAGTTGGCCCACAGAAAGAGAAAACCCCAGTTGGTCAGGCCAAACAAAGGTCGGTCTTCGGCTGGAAATGGGCCTCTGATCACATCCTTAAGGGCTTGATGATCACACCCAGGCTTGAAAAACCGCCAAGGAGAAAGAACTCAAAATCCGCTCGGAAGGGGAAAACCAAATACAAATGCATACAAATGCCACGGCCCCACCATGGTGTTTCGCCCAAGTAAACATCAGCCACCCATTACTTTTTGGGACTAGTAAATCCTTGTACTAGTAAATCATTAAATCATCAAAATGTTTGGAGCCATGTTCAACCCAAAAAAAGTTGAAACTATAGTACGTTACGTACGTTACATTTATCGAAGGAAGTTTAGAAGTCAAACTTCCGACAATATGGAGAGATGAAAAAGCAGTCAGCAGCAGGGAGAAGAATCAGAAGAGAAAAGATCAGAAGAAAGAAGATGCAGGTGCGCGAAAAGGTAGGAAAGTCGCGAAACACTGTGTTTTTTCGTGGTTTTGTGGCTCCGGAGGGTTGAAAAGTAGGCTCGCTAAAGCGGCGGGTGCGGAGACATCTGGGGAGATGAGAGATGAAAAGTTGCACGCCGTTAGCCGATTTCGAAGTGAAAAGGTACAAAACACCTCAGCGCCGGACCGCTTTTGGAAGTTGAGATGTTGAAAAAGTGCACGCCGTTGTGGCGCGAAGCGCACTTGGAAGTAAAATGTGTTAAAAACTGAGGGGTTCGGAGCAGTTTTGGAAGTTGAGATGTTGAAAAAGTGCACGCCGTTGTGGCGCGAAGCACATTTGGAAGTAAAAAGTGTTAAAAACTGGCGGTCTCGGAGCACTTTTGGAAGTTGAGATGTCGAAAAAGTGCACGCCGTTGTGGCGCGAAGCACATTTGGAAGTCAAAAGTGTTAAAAACTGGCGGTCTCGGAGCACTTTTGGAAGTTCTGATGTCGAAAAAGTGCACGCCGTTGTGGCGCGAAGCACATTTCCAAGTCAAAATGTACAAAACACTAGGGGTTCGGACCACTTTTGGAGGTTCTGATGTGGAAAAAGTGCACGCCGTTGTGGCGCGAAGCACATTTCGAAGTCAAAATGTTCAAAACACTAGGGGGTTTGGACCACTTTTGGAGGCTCAGATGTCGCTTGCTTCGCTTCACTACACTACACTACATTACACTACACTACACTCCACTACACTACACTACATTACACTACACTACACTCCACAACACTACAACTACAACTACACAACTACACAACTACACTCCACTACACTCCACTACACTCCACTACACTCCACTACACTCCACTACTGTACACTAAACTACACTACACTACATTACACTACACTACACTCCACTACACTACACTACATTACACTACACTACGTTCCACTACACTACAACTACAACTACAACTACAACTACACACCTACACTCCACTACGCTCCACTACACTCCACTACATTCCACTACACTCCACTACACTAAATTACACTACACTACACTACATTACACTACACTCCACTACACTACATTACACTACACTCCACAACACTACAACTACAACTACACCCCACAGATAGATAGATAGATGGATAGATAGATAGATAGATAATTAGATGAAAGAGAGAGAGAGAAAGAGAAAGAGATAGATCGATAGATAGATAGATAGATACATAGAAGATAGTTGGATAGGTAGGTAGATAGTGAGAGAAAGAGCGAGAAAGAGTGGGAGACCTCAAGCACCTTTCGGTCCATCAGTGGATTCGCTCTGCCATCCCTGAGTGACAACAACCAACCTCTCCTATAGGTTTCCTATTTTTGAAACTTCCGCCACCGCCTTGTGCGGTACTACTGGTATAATCAATAGATAGATAGATAGATAGATAGATAGATAGATTAGATTAGACTAGATTAGATTAGATTAGATTAGGTTAGGTTAGATTAGATTAGATTTAGATAGATTAGATTTAAATTAAGATTTAGATTAAGATTAAGACTAAGATTTAGATTTAGATTAGGTTATATAGATTACATAGATAGATAGATTGGTTGATAGATAGGATTGGATTGGATTGGATTGGGTTGCATTAGATTGGATTGGGTTAGATGTAGATTAGATTTAGATTAGATTTCACTAGATTTAGATTAGATAGAAAGATAGACAGATCGATAGATCGATAGGTTGACAGATGGATGGATTGGATTGGGTTGGGCTGGCTTGGATTCCATTAGATTAGATAGATAGATAGATAGATAAATGTAATTATATATATATATAATATACGTACATACATACAACGACCGCCACAAAAAGGATAGAAACAGTAAGATCCTGGCATTTCCATGTCAAGTGTGGTTCCAAAACCATCCAAAACCATTGAAACTTCCGGGTCCAGGCTCCGTGTTGAAGGTGGTGATGTTATACATCACGAAGCCCGCCGCCAGGGTCCCCACCGTTCCCAAGGAATCCAAGGCCACCGCCAGATCGCCTCGGTCTTCGTCGTCCTCGCCGTTGGAATGGCTGGCGGCACAACGGCTCCAGCAAAGGAAGAAGGCAATGACAAGGATACTGGCGAAGCAACCTGATTTCGCAAGTGTGGAGCCAATTAAATTATACTGTACCATATGTTAAATATATATATATATATAATGTGTGTGTGTGTATGTGTGTGTGTGTACACTGCTAATAACATGCAGTCTAAATATTGATTTGGCAGGGGAGTGCGGCATGATTGTGGGACCGCACTCAACGAAGCTACCACAATCATGGGATACTGGGTCTGATCAACCCAGCGTACCTGCATCAGAGGATAGCAACCGGCTAAGCTGAGAACCGGAACTAGGTAACTTTGATATAGCATCCGGCTAAGCTGAGAACCGGAATTCATAGTCAAATTCATTTACAAAATCAATTTAATTTCAACTTCGACATTTGTGCCTTTTGTCCTTTGATTCATTTCAGGCCATTCATTCAGGAATTGGTGGTGCTCTTTTACTTCTCCTCACTACGCTCGAATCTATATATCCCACAGTGTGTTTTGGGTACTTTACCTCACTTGGTAGTACCGTCTGTCCGTTTCGACGGATATGAAAGTTATGACCGGGCATTTTCCCGGCTGCAGAGTGGGATGTCGCCAACATCCTGAAGTCCCCTTTGCATATTGCATGCAAACAAAGAAGTAAATGTCAGAGCCGACATTGAAGTTCGTCCAACACAATTTGGAAGCCATAGGGCGAAGTGTGCCCAATGGGCGAAGTACCCACAAGGGAGAAGTAGCCATATGACGAAGTATTCTGAATGCGCTCTACTTCCAGTACATGTGGTCCCATCCTCAGTGATTGGGTTTTTATGAGATGATCTAATTTTACTTATCACTTTAGAACCGTAGTTTCGAGCCATGGATGTTCGAACTTTTGCGAAATCAGCGGAACCTCCCCCGAATGTGCCGATTCCTCCGGGAGTGATTCTCAATAGTGTTTCGCAGCAGTTGACCAATTCACGTATTACTGAATCTTCTATGTCTTCAATGTTACGTATTCAACAAGAACATGCTCGTTCATTGGAACGAATGGCAACGATGCAAAGTCAGATCATTGAGCTGCAATAAATTCAGACTCAACAAGTGCATTTTATGCAACAAATGATGTTACCATTGGCTTTTCAATACAATACATTCATGTCCTCGATGTCTTCTTTAGTACCTGGTGTGGGCAATTTGCTTACCCAGCCGTTCACTTTTGTCCAATCAACATTGGGATCGTCGGGGACCTTGTGTGATCCTCTTCATGGCCTACCTGGAAGTAGTCCGGGACCTATGGGGCAATTTGCGGTTCTACCAACTGGCCCGGGACCTTCAATGCGTGCTTCAAGTGGTCCGGCACCCAAACGTCGTCGTCTTGATCCCCAATCAGATCCTCTTCATGAACCACAGAGTGTTGCAAACTCAGTTCAGATTCCGCGCTATGGTCTTTACCATCATGTCAAGCAATCTGAAACTTTTCATCTGAATTGTTAGTGGGTACAAATGACTTATTCAAGACGATCAACATTCTTTTTCTGTATCAACAGATGCTCCGTATCCACAAATCAATTGCTGATAATCCATTTCGCGTGAAAAACGCCTTTGAAGATGGAATGCTGATCGAAGATACAAGACGTCAACAATGGATACCTAATGCTGAATATTTCAATTCATCTCGTGGCTACATTATTCAGGAAGATGCAGTGGATCATACTCAATTTTGGTATGATTACATTTCGACTGACTTGAAGACTCGATTTTCTGCACAACTGCGTAACCCTGTGTTGCGTGATTCAGTTTTGACATCTCTCCGTTTTCTGATTACTGCTTTGGGACGTCACAGCAACCATGTGTCATTGGCTGAGAAATTTGAAATTATTCCAAGCAAGAGCCTATTGCGGTCTATGCGCACTTGGCACTCCCGCAGTGGCGTGCAGACAATTTTGATATTTTTCAGTACTTTGGATTTGGTCACAATACATCAGTATTGGGAATGGCTTCAGCTGTGCGAGAAGGGGTAGTTCGACCATCATCATGCGATGTGCGGAGCCCAGACTGGCTGACTCCCAATACTTTCTATTCTCGGGGAGTTTTGTTCAATGATGATTCCTCCTTTTCTAGGAAACATGTGTTGAGAATTTTGGAACAGACCAAGAAATTTGGTGGCCTTAACACTGCTCGACCTATTTGCATTGTTGGTCGTGCTTTTGCACGTCAAGCACATATTCGGACCCCACAAGGTGGAGTTTATGCAGACCAATTGTTAGCCTATTTCTATGATGTCGTGCATGGATCAGACTCTCGGTGGGCCTTTCGATCCCACCTTTCGACTATCCATGGAGTAGCTACTTTCATTTCGTAGATTCTTGCTAGATATAACAATTCATGCTATGATAAAAAAGATGTCTGTGCTGCCTCTTACCCAGGAACCACTCAGGACGCCTCTACCAAGGCAGCTGCAGCAACTTTGGCTCGGGACAAGGCTACACCTTCGCCTTCAACACGTGTGGAACCTCCAGTCATCCCCGCTCTTCAACAAACTTATTCCTGGGGATTAGGTTTTCGCAATTCGACATTGAGCAAAGGATATATTTTGCCTAAATCTACCCGTGATTTTGCAAAAGCTCGACCAATTGTGCATTATTCAACAGCATGGGCTAGGAAATTGGGCAGTGCAATTTCTACTCTTTTGATCGAAATTTTGAACACTGTCTTTCGGTCCATTTTGGAATTTCCTGATGTACGAGCTGTTATTGAAGGAATTCGTCGATTGTTTCCTATGGAGTCCTTCGCGGAGTCTGCGCATTGCTTGCACGAAGCAGACATTGCTGGTTTTATATCAAGTACAACTTTCCGGAATTTTGATGTCATTGTGTTTGTCGTGTACACGTATGCACAGAAAACCGAATAAGGTTTAGACACTGTCCTGCAGGCTCACATTCACAAGTTGGAACGTTATCTCAAAACAATACTTTTCTGTTACATTGAGACACATTCCTGCTATTGTTCAATACTTGCTGGCTAATTCCTATTTTACGGTCGAGAGCCAAGTATTTCGACAATGTCGGGGAGCCAGTATGGGATCTCAGTTTGCACCTGTACTTCGTTCAGCCGTGGCTTTACAACGTGAATGGAACTATCATCTCTTTTTCACCCTTCACTTGGGATCGTTCGTTGCATCATCGATATGTGGACAATTAAGATTTGTTAGGCTTGACGCACTCTTGACGTCCTGATCTGTTTACAACCAAGAAGTCCCAAGATTTAAAGAGTTTTTCCGATGGCTGTTTCAGTGTCGTTCCGTAGATCACTTGATGCATTCGGGTTGCATCCTCAATGCGGTTTTTGGATCTAGTTTGGAATTTGCACATGTTTAAGATGTCATTACTGGTATCAGTGCATTAATTTCTTTGGAGGATTTTGCAGAAACTGCCCTTTCCTTGCGTCAGATATTCCTAGCTTGGTGCAATATTTGTTGGATCATTCGTATTTCACGGTCGGGAGCCAAGTATTTCGATTACGTCGGGGTGCCAGGGTTCTTATGATGGAAGCCTCACTACAGCAAACAAATTATTACGTCGATATCGTCATCGTGCACAAAAGACACAGGTAAGATTTTTATCTTAACGATTACACAACCATGTGCAGATTTTCACATTTTGTACCATTTGGGTTCTGACTCGTCTAGACAGAAATTTGATTGCTCACGGTTTCTTCTGACAGTGCAAGCCGACACTGAATTTTGTTTTCTTTTATGGCGCTTGTGTCGCACTATGAATGAACCTTTCTCTTTCCACTGCATGTGCAATACCAATCACGTTCAATATTTCTTAACTCAAGAATGGGAACGATTTCATCAGGATCATGACTCTGCCTCTGTTTGGACTTTGCCAGCAGTCAGACGTGATTTGAATTTGCTTCGTCATTGGATCATTTCTCCATCAGATCATTTTCCTCACTCTCTTACAGTACATTGTCCTTGTCAATGGCATGAACTATTACAAAAGACTTTCTTAGATGCAGCAATTTTCAATCGTTGCTCTCCACCTGCGGGACAAGTTCTTCGCAACCTTGAACAACAACCTCCTGATCTGTTACGCTCTCAGTATTTCTGGGGGATTGATTTCAAACGCTCTACATTGAGTAAGGGGTACATTTTACTACCGCCTGGTCTCGGAAATTGGGAAGTGCTTCATTCACTATTTTGATTGCCATCCTCAATGCGGTTTTTGGATCTATTTTGGAATTTGCACATGTTCAAGATGTCATTACTGGTATCAGTGCATTATTTTCTATGGAGGATTTTGCAGAAACTGCCCTTTCCTTGCGTCAAACAGATATCGCTGGCTTTTTCAATCAAGTTTAATATGATCGTAATTTGTTCGCCATACAGTTCGCTATATTCACCTTTGCTTCTCAGTGTGAACAAGGATTAGATACTGTTATGCAATCACATGTTGTTCGTTTGGAACGGATTCCTCGTGTTTTTCAAGGATCTTGGAGAGAAAAGACGAAACAATATATGACTATTACTTTGCGTGATATTCCTAGATTGGTGCAATATTTGTTGGATCATTCGTATTTCACAGTCGGGAGCCAAGTATTTCGACAATGTCGGGGTGCCAGTATGGGATCCCAGTTTGCTTCTCGTACCATCCTGAGTGGACTTTGTGCTCGTCTGCGCCTCATTCGTTCTCATGTTTTTCCAGCCAAAATTCAGTTGGACCAGGTGCAGGATTTTCTGGGCCTTATGTATCAACGAATTCCTGAATTTTTCACTGATGCGAATATATGTTTAACCCATCGTTTTCTTCGTAGTCTTTGGAAGGACCAACCCGTACAATCTTTGATGCAGTGGTGTCGATAAAAAGAGTTTTCCTGCGCTTCTTACTGATTTGCCTCTCATATTGAGAGGCCATGTGTGTGTGTACACTGCTAATAACATGCAGTCTAAATATTGATTTGGCAGGGGAGTGCGGCATGATTGTGGGACCGCACTCAACGAAGCTACCACAATCATGGGATACTGGGTCTGATCAACCCAGCGTACCTGCATCAAA